ACAACTCCTGAATTTTGGCTGTGTAGAGTGCCATCCAGAGTAAAGCCTACACCTCCTAACCTCTCTTACAGTTAGCTGAGCCCATATAAGTTCTGCAGGTAAATCATGGTGGTATATGAAACCTTGAGGAAATATCCTTAAAGGGATGGATATTTTTTCTCTTTTCCTTTTCCTGGCCAGAATGTGAATGTGATGACTAGAGCCAAAGCAGCCATTTTGGACTATGAGGTGGATGTTATATATTGAGGCCAGTGCACCAACCCAGTTGCTGGCTTGGGTGCCCAGCAATTGTGAGCCACTGTACTACATCTGGACTGCTGGTGTTCACATGGCAGATAAATAAACTACTTTGTTCCAGCCACTTTTACTTTTTGGATTCAGAATATGATACTTGGAAGCAGGATACTGTAAATAACATCTCAAATGTGGCAATGGCTGAGTGGAATTGGAAGGCCATCTTTTTTACATAATGGCTACAGGTTAGATGAAATTGTCACGTGTGTTATCTTAAAAGATGGATCACACACTGAGACCGTAGCAATAGAAAAAGTAGGGGGAAAGTTCCAAAGTGTGACTGTTGCTCTTTGTTTTCACAAGGTCTTATAAAGTTGAGTTGGAAGCTGGGTGCAGGGGTGCACACCTGTAATCCCCAGCAACTTGGGAGCCTGAGACAGGAGGATGGCAAGTTTGAGGCCAGCCCCTGAAACTTGGCAAGACCCTCAATAAATAAAAATACAATAAAATAAAAATAAAAAGGACTGGGGATGCAGCTTGATGGTAAAGCACCCTTGGTGAGGTGGGCGGCTAAAAGCCAGCCAGATTACCAGCAGAGATGGGAGGGAATCCGGCTTTGCCCAGGAGACCGAGTTTGTAGCCAGCACTGCAAAGTTGATTGAAGTCTTCAAGTGTTGAAAACACCAACTGCTCTTGTCTTCCAAACTACAGCTATTAGGAGCAGTGCCCTTAGCCAGGCTTGATGGCACAGGTCTGTAATCCCAGTGACTTGGGAGGTTGAGGCAGGAGGATCTCAAGTTCAAGGCCAGCCTCAGCTACAGCAACTGACTCTGTTTCAAACAGAAAGAGCTGGGGACATAGCTCAGTGGTAGAGCACTTGTCTAGCGTGTGAGAGGCCCTGGGTTTGACCCCCAGGACCAGGGGTGGTGGCAGGGTGGGGAGGGAAGGGTGGCCTTGACTTGGGAACCAGCCAGGCTGGGCAGCAGCAGGCTTCTTGGCCAGGATGTGTGAAGCAGGCAGCTGCAACGGTCAGATGGCAGGTACCGCCCGCCCCCCTAAGCTGGCAGTACTTTGGGTGTCCTCGCTTCTTGTGCGGGGGGTGGGGGGGTCTGCTAACCACACTTCTGTTGTCCCCTCAGGAACGTGCCCTCAGTGGCTGTCCGTTACTGCTGACGGGCTACGTGGGGGGAAGATAAGAGGTCAGCTCTACTTGGGGAAGGAGGACAAACACAGGGCCGAGCCACAGCTGTTCACTCTCTGACCCTCAGTTCCTAAGAAACTCAAACCTTGAATTTTAGTTAGGCCCGTGGCTTCCTGGAGTGAGAGCCATTTCCCTTGCAGGCGGGGCCTGGTGAGGAAGTTCTGATCGATGGGATGTACAGCAGGTGACGGTGGCCGGGAGGCCACCTTGGGCCTCGAGCAGCACTCTGGAAGGAACCTGGGACCGTGCTGATCATGGAGCCACCCTGGCAGTCCTGTGCAATGCAGGGTACCCTGGGACTTGGTGTAAGCTACTGTTGTCACGAGAGAGGAACCTAATTCCGATCTAGAATTTGTCACCCAAGGTGAGGGCAGAGACAGGCGCTGTGTGTGGGAGGTCATTTTCCTAACCAGGGAGGACAAGACAGGCTGAGAGCACCCTCTGCCCAAAGAGTGACAATAGGGGGCAAACAAACAAACAAGTTCTGCAGGTCAATCATGGAAGCATTTGCAGAAATCAGACAAAGAATAAAGATGTCGACAGACAGTCACGTTGCTGCACGGCTCGAACGCTTTTATATCCATCAAACAGCTTTCAGTAGAGTCGTCGCTGACAGTACAGGTCAGTGTGAAAAACATCCCCAACTTACAGAAAAAAAATATTGCTGATCAATTAAGACGCTTTTCAAAACAACATGGCTTAACATGATCCTTTGGTTGCTCTGAACAGAACGGGAGCCACCCAGATGGCAG